ACGGATCTTCTTGAATTGGATTTGTAAGTTAGTAAAATAAATGTTAACCGCTACTTGGTTTTGGGCAATTGGTGGAGATCCGACCGTTGGATCGTAATGAAATTTTAATATGTTATTCTAGAAACATATTATGGATCGTTGGGAGTTGTGGATTGGAAATATGATATGCGGATCTTCCGGATTGAGTTATGCAAGGTTGTAGACCTTACCGTCTATCTTCGATTGACTGTTGACTTGTGGTCAATGGGTCTCAAACTATTTTAGAATGCCCTTAAGGTTGTGTTTTATGTGAATTACATATTCTACTGATAAGAGTTCTGAGATGTGATTCGATAGTTGGTCACAGGCACCAATCATTCAGGACGCCTCGATGCATGCGCTAGAGAATCATAGCGTGGACTCCAAGTGAGTAGATCTTTTCCTTTTTATCGTACATATTATTGAGAGTTCTATTGACACTTTTAAATTGATTAGGTATATTACATTCATATAATTATTGTGAATGCTTGAAGTACTAATATGAACTACGAATAGCTTGATCCCTGTTTAGGCTACGTAGGTAGTCTAACGAGACGTTAGATGCAGCCATAATATATTTGAGACAAAAGTCTTATTTGGGAAATTGAGTAATGTGAAGGAAATTGGTAAGGGCAAGTTTTAGTTTTGTGAATTAGTTAGTTAAATTAGTGTTAATTGGGTTGTCATGGATAATTATCCCTGAAAATAAGTAGTTCGGGAGTAGGGCGTTATTGATTGTACATTTCACACCGTATTGTTTATAATTGAAAATGCTACGACATGGTTGAGTATTAGATTGCATCATGGTATATCCATATATATATTACTTGCACATAATTATTGGGAATGCTTTCAAGTGCAAAGGTGAACGCAGGACACCCAGGTAAGTTCAGGTGAGTTTATGGTATTAGTTGAATCGATTGAGTTATAGCATGACTACATTTATGTGTTAGGCAACTCCGATACTGTCGTACTGGTTGCCATGAGTTGCACATGTTATATTGAGATGCATTGAGAGCTCATAAACCTGCACCCCGGTGTTAGTGCTCCCGCCCGTGGCTAGGACACAGTCATTTACGTGATGTTCACCTCTCACACCTTACGCTCACCTTGGACTCAAGGTAGGTGCACATGCTTGTCGTACAGACCACTATAGGTGGTTCCGACTCGTAGGTGACCCGCGATTATTCGCCCAGTCTTCACGTGATCGTAGTACTTGAGCGTACTTATTTACACCCAGTCCTGTCGTACAGACCATTAGAGGTGGTTCCGACTCGTGTGCAGGGATGTTTGATGAGTTATAGATTAAGTCGTACATGTCACTATAGATGACTCCTGACTTGTATGCTAGTATTGATTGATGAGATATGGATACCTGCATCCCGTTGTTAGTGCTCCCGTCCGTGGCCAGGGCACAGTCCTTCACGTGATGTTCACCTTCTGCACCTTACGCTCAGCTTGAACTCAAGGTAGGTGCACATGCCTGTCGTACAGACCACTATAGGTGGTTCCAACTCGTAGGTGATCCGCGATTATTCGCCTAGTCTTCACGTGATCGTACAGATTGAACGTACTTATTTACACCCAGTCATGTCGTACAGATCACTAGAGGTGGTTCCGACTCGTGTGCAGGGATGCTTGATGAGATATGGATAAGTCGTACAGGTTACTAGAGATGACTCCCGACTTATATGCTAGCATTGATTGATGAGATATGAGTACAGTCGTACGGGTCACATTAGGTGATTTCGGCTGATGTATCATTTTATATTGATTAAGTTCATTTGGCCTACTTGTTAATGCATTGTAGAGTCTATGGACACGGCATACCCGTTGTTTTGGCCATTTTTGAGCATGAGTGGATATATAGATATATATATATATATATATATATATATGTGTGTGTGTGTGTGTGTGTGTGTGTGTGTAAGTGTGTGTGTAGTACAGTCCTATAGAAAATGATAAGGGAATTACAGTGAGGGGTTATTACTGTTAGAAAGGTAATAGTTTTGGGAAGCTTGGTTTTAGTGTGTACTCACACTTTCTGTTTTGTACTTCTTCAAGTTTTAACTGTTGAGTTCGTATCGACAAGGATATATGGCTAATCTTAGTATTGGTGGCTACTTTTAAGGGTATGATTCTTACCCACACTACTGTACTTTACTTATGCTCTGACATCGCGTGTGAAATGGGTTCGCTCCCACTCGTAGCGCACTTTGGTATTTAGACACTGTTAGGTTCAAATTTATTCACATTTTATACACTATCATACTTTATGGCTTCGTCACCTTTCAGGTGTCGGCCAACACAGCTCGATTTGGGGTCTTAGTGGACATTCCGGGTCGGGGTGTGTCAAATTGAATCTAACCACGTTTTTTTTACAATTATCTTGAAAGGGAGAGAGGGTAATCAAATGGCTAGATAATAGGAAATTTGTTATGATGTGTTTTTTTGTCATTAGATTTTAGGGAGGTACATGAAATAATTAATTCTAATACATAAAGCACCGAAATTATAAAATAAAAAAGTTTAATCAAATCTCTAAAAGGCATAGATGTTTAGTTTAAAAAAATTCAAAAGTACGGTGCCTATATCAAAAGATCTCAATTGTAATAATAATAGAGATTTACAAATCTTATTGTTGCATATTGAATGGATTTGCAATTTTTTTCAATAAGTTGACTTGATTTGGAATTTGGAATGACAAAAAATATAAAATTTTGAGGATGAGATGGTGGATAGCTCTCAAATTTCTGGGTTGCACCGTGAAATATCAGAGATAAGAATGTGAGGCAAGATTTTTTATTCTTATAAATAAAGGTGAATTATGGGATTAATTTAATGGTTGATTTGTGATAAAGGACCATAACAAGACATAATGATTGGATTTATTTGAAGTTTCAAACAATAAGAGGGTTTTAGAAGAAGAGGAATAGCTAAGTATCATACAAATATGTATATAGATATAGATATATTTTTTCAAGGTCAGGATAGGCCAGGACCACCACGGTCCCTTGGTGCCTCCGCCATGTCTACCCGATCGCAAGTGAGTCGACTCGTCTCGTCCTCCTCAAAGGCCAGTTCCAGGTTCTCGTGGATTCTCCTCCTCCTAATCCCTCTCAACCAACCAAAGAACTCGGGCACCAGAGCCGAGTCCACCCTCTTCCGAGTGAGTTGACTCACCTCCCACCACGAACCAGCCGCCTCTGAACCCCACGAGTGGTTGCTACTCCATGACAACAAGATGAGTTCGATCGGTTTAAGGATTGTTATGTGAATGGATTATTCAACTCTTATATAAACTCTAAATTATTATTGTTTGAATGTTTGAGGTTAAAACAATAATTCACTAAGGCATGCATAAAGTAGCCTCGCTCTGGAAGACAAGTACATGGAACAAGACCGGCCCAGAACTAGAAAAGAGCTCAATATATAGGCCGAAAACAATCAACCACTTTTCTGGAGAAGGGCCTCATGTATAGGAAAAAAGACGATCCTCAAACCGAACTATAGCCGACAGTACAGTAAGTGCAAACTTGGCCAAGATGAGCAACTCCATTACAGTGATCAGGGATGTGGTTGATGCTTGGGGTGGGAAAAAAACCGCTAAACCAAGAAAAACAAATTATGTCGACAAAGAAAGTCAACATTAAAAAAAGGGAACTAAATCGAACCGGACTACTATACTAGTCAAACCAAAGCAATCCATTATTCATTTAGTTTTGAAGATTTCCTCTTTGTTAAAAAATTGATAATATCATATTAATATTTCAAAGGGAATTGTAAATTGCTAATTAAACAATAGTTAAAAGAAAAATAGTGGTGGGTTATTGCTCTGGTGGTTGGAGCATAGCTTTAACCATTGCGTTTCGAGTTCAAATCTATCTATTTCTCTCATTGTAGATAATATTAGAGAAGATAGAGAAAGTTTGTAGAGAATTTGTCGAATTCAAAGGAATAGGAATCTTTGTTCTTTGAATTAAAATGTTAATATATCAATATGTGAGAGAGAACTTAATTAATAACAAACGGCGATAACAAAAAAATAAGTGCCATGTGAATATATAACACCAAGCAAAATACCAAATTAGTAAAGATCAAACTAAACTGCCCAAACTGGCTTGACGTGGTTGGTTTTTGAATGATATGTTGAATTTTTCCACCACTGCACATTAATTATTCCTAAACTCTAAATTACTTAAGTAGATAAATATTTATTTAAAAATAAACTAGATTAGGTTTGCCGTTATGCCAGGAGGTTAGGAACTATGAAGATTCCCAGGGCTCAATGAAATGATTCCGAACTCAACAATCTGTGTCGTTATTAGATATTTTGTTTTGGTGCCTGCAATGACCTTATTTATAAACCTTATTATGTAATATAAAACTGTTTAACTACGATAAAGATTATAGGGAATCATTTAGTATTACGTACTAATTACTAATATATAGACAAGGGATAGAGCCAACCGCCCATTTGTTTATGGAATATCCAATCTTTAATCTGTTAATTAGCGTAATCATTCATGCACTTCCCCTGCCTAAAACGGTGCTTGTTCATAGTACTATTACTATATATGCGGCAATATTTTTATATTTTATGTTCTGGTTTGTGTGTCAGGTTCCGACTGGTCCATTTACATCGTCCTACATATAAAATTAGGACTACCTTAACGTATCATTCCTTAATCAAGATCCACATACATCAAATTTGAATGAGTCATGATGATCCACATATAAAATTATCTATTGCTTTGTTTATCGTGGAAGAAAATCTCGTGTGGTGCAATATCGAGTGTATACATTTGATGACAGGTCATAATCTCTCTAGACCGTTACAAAAACAACAGTAGATATGCCACTACTCAACTTGTGAGAACTAATAAATTCAGGATGTGCGGAGGAGTTTTATCAGTTCTCACGTTTTCTTCCCATTTCAAAAGAGAATCAGTTCCACCACCCCCCCCCCTCCTCCTCCCTACTCTCTCTCTCTCTCTCTGAGCAATGGCATTCTCCTCAGTACTCTCGGCGGTCCCAAGAAGGTTAGCAGAACATGCTTAATCAATCGAAGTTTTTTAGTTTTCAGTTTGTGCCTCTATTTGTGTATCTTTTCCTAGTTAATCAGTTTCTAACTTTCTATGATTAATCAAGTTTTACTTTTTTCGCTAATTAAACTTACGAACTGCAACCTCTCTTGAGTCTTGCCTCATCCAAGCTATATACCAAATTATCAAACAAAACTTTTCTCATGATAGAATGAAGCTAGTTTCCTTAAGATGCTGATTGCTGACCCAGCTTTGCAAATGTATACTCACAATAAAAATGGCTTCACATAAATACAAGTTCATGGTGCCTATCCTCTAATGGGAAATGATTTCCACCCTCTTATTTTCTCCTATAGCACATCTTTATTGTTTATCTCTCTTGATTCTTCTTTGATTTATTCAATCTATTGACTAAAAATAGAGAAGAGTAATCATTTCATTTACTTAATTTATCCAAGCTAGAGATATGTAGACGCTAAGCCGGCTAAGGCAAATCTTTGGTTCCTCCACTCTTTGGTTGAGGAGCCACTGAGAACATGATTCAATTCGGTCATTGGAAACAATCACTACAAGAAAAGTGAGCAACAACAACCCTAATTAATTAGTAACCATTTTGGTAACTTTTGTTGCTGAGGTAAAAACGATGTCCAAGGAAATAAAGGTGTAAAAAAAGAGAGTAGGTAATAGTTACGTCTCAAATGTAACAAACGCATTAATTTTCTTTTCATCATTATTTTCTCATTGGTAACATTGTTGTGACCCAAACAACAGCTACAAAAAGAGTTACTCATTAGGGTAAGTTTTGCTCACTTTTCTTATGGTGAAAGTGCTCATTCCTCCTAATTATTGCATCATCTGTTTTGTACATTATGCGAACACCAATGTGTATATTAATAAATTAATAACATGATGCTTTGAAAGAACCTCATTAGATACATATAACGCTAGAAGGAAGATTCGAATTTGTGTGCACATAAAAGAGAATGTTATCGTAACTAGTCAACTTGACTAAACTTAGGTCTACTAATGCGATTTATTACTGTGATTCCGTTAAAACCAGCCTTATGGATAAGCGAATGAGTTTCATAACGTTGCGATTGATACAAAATTATAAAAAGTTATGTGGTGACGAAATGTAGATCACCATCAATCTAACTCTGTAAATTGCAAATCCTACTGTTCGGAGATTATGTATGTTGAAATTTTCAAAAGTAATTATTATTTTGTAACTGAATGCAGGCTGGAGGGAAAGGTGGCTCTGATAACCGGAGGAGCCAGTGGCATTGGAGAATGCACAGCCAAAATCTTTGTCCAGCATGGGGCCAAAGTCGTCATTGCAGATATCCAAGATGATCTGGGCCATTCGGTTCGCGAGTCCATCGGGCCATCGGACTGCACGTTCGTCCACTGTGATGTCACAGATGAAGCCCAAATAAAAGATGCCGTACACAAAGCCGTTGCCACATACGGAAAACTAGACATCATGTTCAACAACGCAGGCGTAGTTGACCCAAACAAAGCCCGAATCATCGACAATGAAAAGGCAGATTTCGAGCGCGTGCTTAGCATAAATGTCACCGGAGTTTTCCTCGGCATAAAGCATGCTGCCCAAGCCATGATTCCTGCGCGGACGGGCAGCATAATTTCAAGTGCTAGTATAAGTTCATATGTTGGTGGTGCAGCCTCACATGCATATTGTTGTTCCAAGCATGCAGTTAATGGCTTGACAAAAAATGCAGCCGTTGAGTTAGGTCAGTTCGGGATCCGAGTGAACTGCTTGTCGCCGTACGCGCTCGCAACGCCGTTGGCTCGGAATTTTGTGGGGGTTGAGGATGAGGAGCTTGAGAATGTGATGGGATCTCTAGCCAACTTGAAGGGCGTGACACTTAAGGCGGTGGATGTGGCAAATGCAGCTCTATATTTGGCAAGTGATGAGGCTAGGTATATTAGTGGGCATAATCTCTTGATAGATGGGGGTTTCAGCATCCTTAATCCCTCTTTCGAAATGTTTCAGTACCCTCAAGAGCCTTGATCTTTTTTTCTTTTTGGTTTTTCAAAAAAGGGATCAGTTGATGGTCTTGTCATGATAGTTTATCCTCCAAAGCCTTGATCTGTTCAACTGCTATAGATTTTTTTTTTTTCTTTTTACATGTTTGAGTTTGAATTAATTTTAATTGTTATAAGTTCATCCTTTACAAAACAAAAAATACAAAAAAAAAAAAAAAAAGGACCGGTTTTTAAGTACCCCTATCGGAGTAGAAATATTCGGGTCTTCCAATAAGCAATCTTGTTATTGTACGTTTTAGAAGGTTGTACATCATCTTCGTTTGCTACAAGTTTGAGTGGTGAAGAGTGATGAAAGAGACTTCCACGTTCAAGTTATATTTTGATATCTATGTACATTTCCTAATATTTGATTGTTAATGTGATCCCTATATTTTGAAATTGACTTTTTTTTATATTATTTTATTTTAATTTAACAAACGATATTATCTACATTAAGGGGAGGAGGTGAGCTCAGCCTCACAATGAGCTGACATGCAATAATGTGGTTGAAATTCGCATTTGATGAAAATCGAACTTAAGACATTTCACTTACAAGTGAAGATGAATACTACTGAACTCTAGTACTAAGTGGCTAATCTTTATATTTTATCCCATCAACAATTTTTGTCCCTTGTAACTACTTTGACGTTACTTTGTCGTGTTAGCATAGTGTGTCATTTGTATACATTAACCCAAATTGAACCGAAAGAATCAAAATTGTTAATAGATTAAAACACAAGAATCAAATTGACCAAATTTAAAATATAGGAATAAGAAAGTATGTAACCCTAATCAACTTAACCGTATTACTGTTACCGTCACAATCACTATCACTTTGTTGTGACCATCATCAGTACCATCCTCCCTACCATCACCACTATCCTGCCATCGTTATTAGAAACATAATCACCGCCACCGCCACCACCACTTCCCACTACCCACCTCTAATACCGCCACCAATATTACACATGATGACCCACCACTATTTAAAAAAAAATTAAAACTTTGAAACTAGTAGAAATACCCATTTTAACAGCCGATTAAAAAAAACATTGACATCTATGCAAATCTATTAAAAATCATACTAAGTCTCACAAACTCTCTCAAATTCCATATTAAGATCCAAATAAAAGTTACTCAAAGCCCGTGTAACTATGCTTCTTGCGTGGTGTTTCTAGAGTGACATGAGTCCATCCTTCAACTTCACTCGGCTTGATTGGCATGGTTTTGGAGTATGCCCCCAACAATTGAGGTGAAGATGTTGAATTGAATGAGCCAAAAGTGACGGTGGTATTGTTTGATTCCAACACATTGTCAAGACCTAAGTCAATGACTTCTTCTTGGGCCAACTTCATGATGAGATCTTTCAGCACAAAGCACTTTTCAACCGAGTGACTGATGACGCGGTGGTACTTACATTATCTTAGGTTGTCGGTGCAATTCATCTCTTCCGCCCGTTTGCACTCAGGTAAATTGATCATTTTTTTGTTGAACAAGTCCTCTAACATGGTAACCACATTGAAGTCGGGGAATGGATAAGTCTTCTCCTCAAACTCCTTTAAAGTGCGTTTATGCCTCTCTTGGTCACAAAAAGCTTCGGTCCACTTCACCTTGTCTCGTGTAGAGATTTTAACGGGAGCTATGTTAACCACCATCGCTTCCTTGATAGGTTCCCTCACGGATTTGTCCATTTTCTGCCCAAAGAATTTGTCATTTCTGTAATCAGCAATCGGGTCTTTCTTCCCATGATGGGCGATGCTCAACTCCATGTCGTGGGTGCGAGTAGCTAACTCTTCAAAAGTCTAGGGCTTGATACCTTGAAGAATGTAGTGCAATCCCTAATGCATGCCTTGTAAGCATATCTTGATCAAGGAGATTTCCGAGAGTCTGTCTCTGCAATTGAGACTTAGAGTGCATCATCTGTTGATGTAGTCAATGACTAGCTCGTCCTTCCATAGCTTTGCACTTGTGAGCTCCAACATGCTGACGGTGCGATGTGTGTTGTAAAAGAAGTTCAAGAACTTTCACTCTAATTGCTACCAACTGTTAATGGACTCAGGCTTTAGATTTGTGTACCAATTGAACAATCACTTGAGAGCATGAAGAGAAAAGAGAGCAGAAATCATTTCCTTCCTTATTTGTTCAAGTTAGAGATTGATAGATAGACGCCGAGGCTTCTTATTAATTAGGCCATGGCTACATTTGAACAATCACTTGAGAACATGATTCAATTTGGTCATAGGAAATGACGGCGCTCATTCGTCATAATAATTGAATAATCTGCTATAGTATGTGACAATTGAATGTAAAATAATAATGATGCGAAGAAGCAACTCCATGAACTACATAACACAAGGATGTTCGAACTTGAATGCATAAGAGGAGCAAATTGTTCCAGTGAAGCTACTAATGCATGCAGTTGATGAATGTGATCTTGGGAATAATATCAGCAATATTGATGGTGAACCAGATTAGGCTTATAAAGCTTATCATAGTACATGCTATTCTTTCTACACAGTCTTGGGCTTGAGTTACTAGGCTTGAATCTACTTCCTTAAATTGGGTTTTTGAAAAGTTTTGCTAGCTCCAGCTTAAAGTATTGGTTGAACAATTGTGTCTTCCAAAAGATTGACATTGGCTCCAATGACTGAATATTGAATGGGACTTTGAAAAGATTGGTGTTAGCTCCAGTGACTGAATGCAGATTGATTACTCTCGAAAAGATTCGTGTTAGCTCAAGTATAATGACTTGACCAGCTCCTAATGTAGGAATTGGTTTCCCTAGCGATCCCATGTGGGGCCACTCATGAAGAGGCGTGTTGAAGAATATGATCTCACATTAGAATATAACAAAATAATATATGATTAATATATAGGAGTTTCCACCTCTAATATCACCAAGGTTTTTTAAGATAAAATTCCGCATCTAGTAATAAGCGGTTAAATTGAAGATAATACCAATAATATTAGCGGTGAACCGTTCTAGACCTTTAAAGTTAATCACACTACAAGTCTGACTCTGCTGAATTGTTTAATTTGCATGCACTGAGATAAAATAACAAAAAATATTCGATCCACTAACAGACAGCCTTTTATGCATCTGCACTATCCTAATATTGTATCTGAATACTGCAACAAAAACTATAATATTTGAACTAAAAGTCACTCTGATTCTCCAAATGCAATTAATCTACCCCAAATTTAACATGCAGAAAATATAAAAAAATTAAATTCATCCCAAGGGTTGTCGACAATTAAGTCAAACCCATTATTTTTTAATCCTATGCAGGACAAAATGTGGTCCAGGAAAAAGAAAAAACAAATATAATCCTCCATACCCTGTGATCCTTGCCAGGCAATTTGATTTGCAATATCTCCTCATCTGGTAGTAACTGGGACGTTTCTGCTCGGCTTTTATATCTGACTAAGTTTTTTCTTGTTTAAAGCAAACGTACTTAACCCTACGATTTGTATATACAATTGGAATCCTAAAATAAAAAAAAATGCAACCTAAGCATGAAAAGAAAGAACACTTCCAAACAAAATTTAAAAGCTTCAAACCCAGAATTTGTCTGTCACATGCATTCAAATCGGGTTGCGTTAACTTGTCGGCGACCTAACCAGCATTTCTCACTCCATCCAATACTTCCATGCTATTTATAGACGTACATCACATACACTGTTTGATTCATGCCTCAAGTATCACCATACATTTGCGTCAGTCACTAGAATTCTAAGATGATGAGCAGGTTCTTCCTCACTAGTTCCGGTTCCGAGTCCCAAAAGGTACGCTTAGTCTTCGTCCCGTTTCAACATCTAGAGTTCGAGCAGGTGTTTATAGGGTCAAGTGGTTAATATATTACTGTTTATAACCCTACACTTGAGGTCCAGAGCTCGAATCTCTAAGTTTTACATCTATTAACATACGTCTCATTTGTTGTCATTGATTTTGCAGGCTACAAGGCAAAGTCGCAATTATTACTGGAGGTGCTAGTGGAATTGGAGAGAGCACTGCAAGATTGTTTGTCTTCCATGGTGCAAAAGTCGTCATAGCCGACGTCCAAGATGAACTAGCTCTGTCCCTCTGCAAAGAACTCAACTCAGACGGAGAGTCCATTTCGTACATACGTTGCGATGTCACTATCGATTTGGATGTGAAAAATGTTGTAGACGTGGCTCTGTCAAAGTACGGAAAGCTTGACATCATGTACAACAATGCAGGCATATCCGGCAAATTGGACCCATCGATTTTGGGAGCTGATGCCGAGAACTTCAAGCAAGTGTTTGATGTGAACGTCTACGGAGCTTTCTTGGGCGCCAAGCATGCTGCTAGGGCAATGATCGCTGCTAAAAAAGGTGTCATTCTTTTCACTTCGAGCGTGGCATCAGCTAGTTGCGGCGAGTCTACACACGCGTACACCATGTCAAAGCACGCGGTGGTGGGACTTATGAAGAGCTTGTGTGTGGAGTTGGGGCAGCATGGGATTAGAGTCAATTGCATATCTCCGTGTGCCATGGCAACCCCGTTGCTGACAAATCTAATGGGGATTGAGAAAAATACGGTCGAGAAGTTGATCTGCGCTTCTGCGGTGTTGAAAGGAGCGGTGCCGAGGGCGGAGGATGTGGCGGAGGCTGCCGTGTACTTGGCGAGTGAGGAGTCTAAATTTGTGAACGGACTGAACCTTCTTGTGGATGGAGGTTATAGCACCACTAATCAGTCTCTTAGTATGGTTTTGGGGAATTTAATGGCCTCAAGCCAGGCTTTGTAAGCATTATTCATTTATTGTGCTACTACTAGCTAGTCTGCTATGTTTTGATCCTTCGCGCTTTCTCTTTTTGAAGTATGAATCTTCATTTCAAAACTCGTCATCCTCTCTTTTATGAAACACTGACCTAATGAGTTGTAACGAGTTAATTACACTTGCACTTTTATGATTTAAGTGAAATATCAGTTTATAGTATCAATTTTTTTTTTTTTTTGAGAGAAAATACGATATTCGTTGAAAAGAGAGAAACGTACAATGCAAAATGAGGATAGGGTGCATAACTGAGCCTCAATAAAATTCTTGCCAGAGATTCCTTCCGGTCTAAGAGAAAAAGAGTGTCCCGCACTTACAAACTTAGAAGTAACTATCCTCATCGAAACGCTTAAATAATCGGACTAAGGGGAATCAAATAGAACTATCTTGCACTAGCACATCCGAGAGTATATCAGGTGGGTGTTCCCGCCATTGCACCTCCAGTTGGTGACCAAGTCCAACAGGAGCAAGCCTATGTGCAGCGTAGGGTATCAAACCTAACCTTTTGAAATTATTATAATGAGACCTCAATTTGACGATTATAGGAGCAGTCTTATCATCGAGTTTTAATTTGTTTGATTCATATGGATAACTAATAAATGTTTCAAAATCAAATTAACTTTTTTAAAAGATGGTCTTCTGACAATGATGAAGATAATTAGTAAACGATTCTGATTTTGACAATATTTGTATTGAGAAATGATCAATGTCACATTGTCGTTAAAGGAGAATTAAATCTCTCCTTGTATGTAAAGATTCAAGCAATATCCTTTCTTTTATTCCAAAGTTTCTTATGTAACATAAATTAATGAATGTAAAATAAATTGTTCTTTTTCTTGTTACAATATAATAGATGAAAGCCATAAATCATAAACCCTATAATCCAATAAAGGCATAAACCGCATTTGCTATAAAGCTTTCTATACAAACAGTAATTCTTGTCTGCAAAACTACCACACGCAGCAAAACCCTAATACAAAAGACTACTTCAATATAAGATTTTCCAAGGAGCCATCTTGAAACAGTGGTATTCAATCTTCTTCTCTCATAGTTCCTCATAGTTCTCACTGTAGATAGGACGAATATTTGTCGAACTGGTTAACTTGAGAAGAGAGACCAAAGATGTGTATATAGAGGTTGATAATTGCTCCTCCTATCAAGGTAGCAGTTACCATTAGTTTTCTAATCAAAATAAACTACATCTCTTTCTTTTAACAAACATGCATGGTGTTAGCGGGTTGAATTGTTAAGGGATATGTGAGGATCAAAACTCTAGCAGGCTACATGGACATAATTGCTGTCCACCACTACTAAAGTGTCATCTACAAATAAAATAAACAAAACTACCTCTTACTTCAAAACTTGAGTTCAAATAATTTCCTTCCATTATGATTAAATTAGATTTAATCCATACTAAGTCCAATAATAACAACTGTCCATTACGCAGAGAAATTTTATTCGAAACGTAGTTTTCTTGTTCCTAAACTCAACTTTAGTAGTCGTTACCTAAACTCTCTAGTTTACCCTCATAAAATATACACATAAATAAAATGGAAGTCTTACAATAGATATCATAACAATACACAACAATAGTTTGATCTAAACTCACATTACGAAGAACCTAGCTTAATTTTAACATAAGAAAAAGCTAGGGAAACTTTGTACTGTATTAGCTAATATACCATATGATGCGTCAAGTGATGAGTATACATATGTCAGTGAATGAATATGGTGTAACTATGTGGTCTCTCTAGTAATATTCTAATCTATATTCCCCACCCTCATCCACTTGATTGTTTGAGCCAGCTTTTGTACAAAGTATTTCTATTGATAAGTGCTTTTGCTAGAAGTACTTTTTAGTTAAAAACATATTGAATTTTCTTTTTCCATTAAAAATCTAGGTCTTTTTTTCTAGAATAAGCACTTGCTAGCCCCAATAGCTTATAGATTATGTTCCAGAAAAATAGTTTCTATAACCTAAAGCGTTTTTAAGTAAAACGTAATTAGAAAAGCTTTTGATTGTTAACCATTCCTTTAGCAAATTCCAAACAAGAGAATGATTTATATGAACGAGTTAACTGCCAGATGAAATTTCGATCCAATATTGCATTACAATGTGTAAGTATTTTTTACATAACAATGCATTATTTGATCGAAATGTCACAACAAAGTTTTTTTATGTAAGTTTTTCTCTCAAATAGACTCAATTTAACAAATAAAGCCCAGGACTTTGACAATACAGTGGCCCAATTTCATACCCAAATTCAGTACATTAGCCCAATAAACTCATAAACCCACCAACAGAGATCTCCTATAAATATCCCAAAACCCTACCTTCCCTGCCCTTACGCTCTTTTTGCCTCTCTCACGAGCACACACTCACCCGCCGCTACGTCTCCTCCTAGCTCCGCCGCACAATTCCACCACCACCATGGGTCGCGTCCGCACAAAGACAGTGAAGAAATCCTCCCGCCAGGTGATCGAGCGCTACTACTCGCGCATGACCCTGGACTTCCACACCAACAAGAAGATCCTCGAGGAAGTCGCCATCATCCCCTCCAAGCGCCTCCGCAACAAGATTGCCGGATTCTCCACCCACCTCATGAAGCGGATCCAGAAGGGCCCGGTTCGTGGCATTTCCCTGAAGCTGCAGGAGGAGGAGCGCGAGCGCCGCATGGACTTTGTCCCCGAGGAGTCTGCCATCAAGATCGACGAGATCTCCGTCGACAAGGAGACCCTCGACATGCTCTCCGCTCTCGGTATGGCTGACATGCCTGGTGTCAAGCGGGTCGACCCGGAAGCTCAGACTCAGAATCTCGGGTACGGGCGTGGTGCACCCAGGAGGTACTAAACCGGAGAATGATAGGGTTTTGATGCTATATTACATTTGGTTTTTGAATTAGGAAGAAGTTTGTTGTGTGTTTAAATTTACTGTGGAAGTAATGCGTGTGACATTTTTGTTATGGGATTATGTCAAATTTGCATTTAGAATGGAAAATGTTGCATTTTATTGAATTCGTCGGATGAATCGTATTGGTGATGATTGTTGCTTCTTTCGGTTAATATCACTGTTGCTTTCGGCTTCAAGAGTGTGATTCGATTACGATTTGGTTTCGAATTTTATGGTCCTGGTATTGGTTTATGCTGTTGTTGGGAATGATTAGTTTGATCTCAGAAACAATGTTATGGCTTTGGTTCTGATCTGTTGGAATTTGGAACCTTTATGATTCCGATTTTGATGCTTATCTTCGATTTTTCATGCGTTATTCAGTCTACTTCGACATTCAGCATGTAGGCTGTAGTGATTTGTTCAATTTACTTCCTAAAATGGTTAGTTTAATCAGTTAGCGCTATCAGTATCATTGTTGTATGCTTGGTTCAGTCATGTCTCATGCTTCCATACCAGCGCCGGTTTTGCTTTTTCCTTCCCGTAAATACATAAGCAGTAGTGTCTTTGGTTGTTTGCCATGTCCTCCTTGTTAACTGGGTTGTTATACTGTCCAAAGATTGTCGAATTAAGTCCCGGAACCACTGCATCTGGTGTGATTTGCGCCATTGTGGACCTTTGAGTTAGTCCTACAATGGCTTTCCAATGCTAGCAAATAACTTAAGCAGGTCTTGTTGTCACGATGATGCCCACTTTGCTCCTCTCTCACCAATTCTTCTTGTTGCGTCATATGCTCCTCCTCGTTCGTAGTATAGTGAGATAGCCAGCCCCTGCCTTTAGACGAAAAAAGCCCTCTTCTACATCCCCTAGACAAAATTTTAGGAAATGCGAAACTTGCCCTGTAACCTAGGGTTGATGTTTGCTGCATGGTGGTGATTTTGGAATCTATGACTCAATTCTATCCATTGAACAAAAGATGTATGGTTAAGATTTGTTGTCAGCGACTTAGCTTCAAAAGGTTATTAGGAAGATCGGTTTTTAATTTCGACTTGTTAGAATTTGTTATGCTTTTGCTTAGGGCTGGTTTGGTATTGTTGTGCTTTGGAAAAAAACTTCTTCTGCTGTGCTGTGAGAATAAGCTTATTTTTTATGCTTTACGTTTTCAGCTTTTTGCTTTTTTTCAGTAAAAACTCGAAAATAAGTTGTTTTTAAGTTTTTACTAAACATCTTTTTGAGCTCATGTTTTTATTTTTTATTTTTATTTTTATGCCCATTTTTTATAAAAACATCTCAGTACCAAACTAGTACTTAATCCATCCCAAAACAAAAATCAACATCTTCCATGTAAAAGGAGCTTTGATGAAATGAGTGTCGCTTATGTTTTCCTCGTTCGAAAGGAACGAGGATATAGACAAGTAGAAATCGACAGCACCCGGTGGCTTGTAGCTCAGTCACTGGTAAAAGAGCCGCCAATATTACAGAATTAAATGAAATATACAGCGTTTAGACCAAAACAAGAAAAACGAAAGTTCGATATACAGGGAAATCGCGATCATGAATTCGCACAGCATACACCACATCAAACACAAGCTGCCTCTTCAATCTACAAGTGTTTTCAACGCGAAGTTTTGGAGATACGAACTACGTACGTATAATTCTTTACTCACTTGAATTAGCAAGCCCAACCATGTTAAGCATATGGCGGTCTTCCTTAAATCTCTCCAGTACAGTACCTTTTCCACCGGCGTGTTTTTCTTGTTCTGCTACTTTGGTAACAACTCCCCAGCATTCTATAACTTCCGGGTGTATCCGGTTGGTCTTGGAGAGGCAAGGGGAGCCAAATGTGGTACAGGAGAAAGTGTGCCCCTGATCAAAGCTGGCTGAAAGAAAAAGGCCAAAGTGATTCACCTTTCCTCCAAAACCGATACCATTCGGGATGCTCTCTGAACTGAAATTCACAGCACACTGCCAGCATACAAAACAAGAAGACTTCAAAACATCATAATCGGAAACAGACTCGACTGATTTACGAAGCTGATCATCTGAATAAACAAGCTTTTACATTGTGATGTGGTTCGGTTGATCAACCAAATGGATGCTAAAATCGTATTAAAGAAACAAGTCTTCTATTTCGAGAGCAATATAAATTATAAGATCGAGTGGGAACTCACCCATTGTATGTTGGTGTTTGCCCCTGTTGGCCTGAATATTGACGCCTTCGGATACAGCTGGAAAAGAAAAGACTTCAGATCTCCATAGAAACCACCATGCCTCTCCCATGGCTGGGAAGCGTAACCCCCATAAATATAATCATCTTTATCCTTGATGATTAAGACAGTTGGTCCTTTATCATTTCTGCAGTTCATTGAACAATTACCCATTCCATCCCAAATTAGTTGCAGCAACTGACAAGACTGAAACTAAAGTGGAAAAAAATGTATTTAGCATTTTATCTAAGACGGGAAAGTGGCAAAGTATAACCATTTAATGGAACACTTCAGTGGTCTTTATACATGATCTCCCCTTCAACCCAAGATAAATGAAACAAAACCAAAGTAGCTAGATGTGCATCTAAACCAAAACAGGCTACGTTATACAGAATTTGTGCTCATTGCCTATCTAACAAGGCACATCCATGAACACCCATCCATTTGACTCTAACAGTGTATCAAGAAATCTAAATCCTCGTTTTGAGAACAGTGATAAATTCACATTGCGACAAGGACATATTCAACTTCACAATAGAAATATAATTTACTTTAAGAGATTCAAAATGAAATTAAAAAAATAAAATAAAATAAAAAATAACTGTGTAAACAAGATACTCACGACACGCTGCCCAAAAAGGTGTTAAAGCTCAGACCGCTAAAAGAACTGTGGTATAGCAGTTTCCATTCCACCAGCTCTTGTTGTGGAAGGATTCCTCCTATATGCCAAGCATATACCTCCTTCAGTAACACCATATTTGAATCGATGTTTTCCACATGCATTAGTCGAGGAACTTGGGAACCTGGTCTTCCTACAAAGAGCGGCAATGTCAAAAGTATTGGAAATACAAATCAAAATTCAGATTCCCAAACTAATTGGGATAACAGTTTATAATGCAAAACCAACAAATCCAGAGGATAAAAATGAAAGAAATCAGAAAACCTTGATGAGGAGGTATCAATAAGCTTCCAAGGAACTTCCTGACAGATGGGAGAAGAGTACACCAAGTTCTGAAATCTTCAAGAGACAAACTTTCTTGATCATGTCCTTCGTCATGCTTAGTAAACTTTGCAGCATTAAGAAATACATCGACACTGCCCTGATGTGCACTTGATCCACGTTCAGGGGTGTCCATATTGAATATATTGTCAAACAATGCACCCAGAACACATTCCAAATCCGACCTGAGTTTAAATTCCTAATATCATATACATCAGACAAGACATAAAAAGAATACAAAGACGGGTACTTCTTATCACATTATAAATAGAAATCACGAAACTCTTCCATCCTTACTGCAGCCACAACAAGAAGTAAATCCAAAGTCATGCAATATGCCATATGTTCTTATCTCTATTTACTTTAAATTATTGAGAGGGCTACTTGTACGTTTTTATTCAATGAATCTGAAGAAATATCACACTGTGAACTTAAAGTAAACAACAGTAACTAAACTACTTAACGTAGCACCCATATACTTCTATGAATTGCAAGCCACAGTAACAAGTATAACCCAAGTCATGTAATACGACAATGCCATACTTTATCTGTTCTTATTTCTATGAAATTTAAATCATTCAAATGCTAGTTGTGTTTCTATTCCACGAAATTGAAGAAAATCGCGCTGTGAAACTTACGAAAACTATACCAACAGAATCTAAACTACAGGACACAACAATCGGTTCTGTAGACAGGATATAACAAAACCACATACTTCAACTAATTGCAATCAAAATATGAATCTATATCGTATATTCTCGATAAAGTTGGAGTTCCAATTCTACCTTCCCACAATGCCATCCCCGGATACGTCTAACAACTGATATATGAATTCTTCAATGTCATCTTTCGTTCCCTTCTCATAAATCCCCTGAAAACCCACAAAAAGGGAAGCAAAATAAAGCAAATGGGCATATGATAAAACTCAAAAATACAAAACAAATAGTGCAAAATTCACAAGATTTTCAAGAAAAAAAAAATTACTTTGGCAATAACTAAGTCTTCAAAGGTGAGCTTTCCGTTTTTGCGTTGCTGGGTAACTAAGTCGAACATCCTATCTCCGAGAGCTCCCTTTAGTCCGAAATAAGTCTGCGAAAGCACAAACTCTATATCTAAGTACAGAGGAAAGATCATTTTACAGCAAAAGAAATGGAATTTCCATGAAAATTGTAAGTGCCGAAGACATGGGTGAAGCTAATTTACCTTAAAAACTGAGGGGGAGATGTACGGACCACCGCTCTGCGACTTAGCAGCCAGAGACGCGTGCAGGGATTTGAGATCTTCGAGTTCCGTATGAGTAAAAGCTCTGCAATCAGTTCCAAATCAATCAATCAAATATATATTTATGTATATGTATATGTATATGCAGATAATTAAAGAGAGAGAGAGAGAGAGAGAGATACCTAGAGGAGGAAGCAAAGCGAGGATTGTGAGAAGGAGGTGACTGAGAGTTCCCCATTTTTTTCTGGTTTTCTTCTTCCCTCTGCAGTGTGGACTCCGAAAAAATCTAGATTGATATTTATACTTTTTCATGGCAATTTTTTTGAAGTAGGTGCTTGTAATTTACTAATATGTTCAAACTCCCCCAAACATTTTGGTAATTACATGTATTCTACACACCTTTGTTTAATGTTAGTCATTAATTTTGTTTAATTTATTCAATTCAGTGGCCTTAAATACGAAGAAGTGTGTGAAAATTAAAAAACAGTCTATAAAAATCACTTATCGAGAAAAAAAAAATCATTTTTGCCTCTTTCAAAATTTTTTTTCCTTTTTTACAATTTTAGAGTTAAAATTTGAGATATCATCTAATTTTATGTTTTTACTTTAGACCAACACTTTATTTTACGAGTAATTACAGGTAGGATTTATTTTACGTCAATTTTGTACTCAATTTAGAAGTGAAAAAAATTGGACTTTTTTCAATTGATTTGGAGGAAAAAAAAAAAAAAAACTACATACAAGTACGAAGGTCATTTTCAGTAAGTAATGACCTCACGATGATATGAAAGTCATAGGATTAAATCATGAAATAAATTATTTTGTTGCCAAAATCATCAAGATTTTTATTCCTTTTCCATTTTCTCTTCAACTCTTTTTCTGGTACGTGTCCTTTAAGAACTATTTTGTGTCCGCAAGGAATCAATATCTAAAGAACATTTAGCCTTTTTTAATAGCAAGGATAATATAAAAAAATTAAAAATTGTGAGAATTGAGCTTTGAGGTGCTAAATTGAAAGCTTTTACAAACTTGAGGGACCGAATTGCAGAAATTGGAGACTGTAAAGTTAATCACAACTAAAGAGAAAAGAGAGGTTTATACGCAAGTTTAGTGAAGGAATTTATACTCAGAGCCTCAACTCAAGGACCCAACCGAAAAATCCACACTTTATTATAGCAAAAGCCAAAGCCAAAGCCAAAAGCCAAAAGCCAGAACGCAAAACCCATCTGGGTTTTCTTCTAAACTTCAAGCTGTTCAACAGCAACTCTTCTTCTTCAACTCAGATCTGTAAGTTCCATGCTTTTCTCTTTCACTGATTTTTTAAACTTTATTAGTAGTATCTTGGATTGGGGTAACGGGGTTCTTCTTTCTTGCTTCTTAGGCCGTGTTTGGTTGTTAAGAAAAATGTTGGAAACAGAAAATTAACTGCAAAGTTTCTTACTTTTTTCCCCCTTTCATATATTGTGTTTCACTACTTGTATTGCTATTGGTTTTTGTGTTACTGTGTATTTAAGGTGAAATGCTTGAGATTTAGGCACCATTTTTTGCGGGGGTTGTATTGTCAGCAACCAAAAAAGGCAGAAATTGCTGAAGCATTCAGATGTTTAGGAAAGGAAGCCATTTTTCTTTTGTTGTTGTTTTTGTTCTTTTTTTCATGCTCCCATGGAAAAAAAAATAGACCCATCTTTAAGTCCAGAAATACTTATGTAATATAGAAATTTAAATCTTCACAAACTCAGCTATGAAACATGATTACATGAAATAAATGTAGAAGGATAAATGAAGACAACGTTTCTTGCTAATGGTTAGAAATTTAAATCTTCACAAACTCAGTTATGAAACATGATTACATGAAATAAATGTAGAAGGATAAATGAAGACAACGTTTCTTGCTAATGGTTATCGGTGTCCAACCGAACTATAAAATGAGAGCATGCTGTCAAATTAAATAATTTCTCACTTTTTTTTGTGAATTGTGAGTTCCCTTCATTCATGAAATATTTGATATGCTAATTCTGGAAATGTATACCAGATTTCGGTGAGCGCTGCATCTGAGTCTGTGACAATGTCCAGACCATGGGTGTTGGTTTGTCTGCTCCTGTTAATTGTGTTTACATCACAGTTTGAATGGAAGCAATATGGGAATGATGAACCAAGTCCAAGTACCTCCAAGAAACAACAATATATGTCTGAAAGGGAAGAGGCCGTGAAAGAAAAAGTGAGTGCTAATTTTGGAAATGTATAACGTACGGATTCTTTTCTTTCCTACCCTATCGTGTGATTTTGAGTTGGGTCATTTTTTTGCTTCATTCGGGACTTAAGTTCTAACTTTTAATAGCAGTTAATATAACAAACTCATATCTCCACATTGCCCTGTATACATAATGATACCCTTGCTTTGATTCTTGTCCAGAGAGAGTAAGTGTTCTACTACAATGCATGAACGATCTAGATAAAAATTCTTTAGTTGATGCCACGGCCCCTAATAATTGGCTTCTTCCGTTAATGACCTCTATATCTGAAGTGTTTGCCCATTTCTGTATGGGAGTTATTATTGGCACTGCAAAAAGTCATCATGAACTCAACAACGGAGGGGGTACTGCTGGATGGATGGGCTTTTTGAAGTGCTCACAAACAGCAATCCCCTTCTCTAAATGACCGATCTTTGATTTTTTTTTGGGTTGGGCTTTGAATTTGTTTAGCGAGAAGGAAATATGCAGTATTATATACCTTTGTTCTTTTTTTGGGTTGGGCTTTGATTCTTGAATTTTGTTGCATTAAGTACTTAAAAGGCTAATTTTCACATTGGATATTCTAAGTTTCTCTTAGCGTACACAATTTACTACTTATGAGTTATGTGATAATGTATTATTCAGTTACCTGCATCTTATATACCTGCGGTAGCATAATGGCCTAATTCTACAAATTATGGTGGGCTGCAACTGGTAGATAAGTTCTTTAACCTCATTGAATTTATCTTCACTGCAGATTATCCTCTCCCAAGAGAAAAATATACAAAAACTTAATGAGCTTGTGCGGAGTCTTCGAGAACAATTGCTACAATGTAGAGGTGAAAATGAGATTGTCAATGGCACTTCAGCTCCTTTGACTGAACTTCTTTCTGAACTGGAAAGGCATCCACTTTTGGAGGATTAATGATGGATCATACGTATTAAACATCAATATGCTTGTACCTGTAGGTAGGAAAATATAAATTCTTTTTTATTGCTTAGCATCACGTGAAATTACATTTGTTTAGTTGCAAAGTGCAATACCAGAACTCTTTATCTTTTGCCAGTATGTTATGGATATATAAAGTTTGTATATTGGTGAATTTTGAGTAAATGGTTTGGTGGCATGAAATGAAAACCAAGGTTCAAATATTTTGGAGGAACATAACCAATAACTGTAGAGAAATATTTATCCTCAAAGCATCATGTTTGTACTTATTACCTATTATTTCAACATCCTAACACCAAACACAGGGATGAGAACTTCCTCGACGCTGTATGCTGGGATCGCCTATTGTCCACCCCTTTAGTATTCCTGGTGAATCAGTTCTCATTCGGCTTACCAAACTTAAACATGAACCAACACCTCGGTTTCAGTCCTGGACTACAAAGCTCGTCTAATGATTAATTAAGTTTCTGCATTGAGTTAACAGTCCCTAACGGGTTATCATTGAGGAGACCCCCAATGGTATATTTGCTGGGCTGAACCTTTTTAACAGTTATGCTAAGTATCATGAACATTCTTTATTAGCTATTTTCCTTTAATATTCTCATGAAATTTGTCCTCTCAATATTAAACTGTTGTTGCGTTGGGGCAGAGGCATTTAAACTGTTGTTAATTTATTTTCTCATGAAATGGTGAGTGTTTGTAAGTGTACTCAGTAAGAGAGTGAAGTTGGTGCAGGGTTCTTCCTTGCTGTCATCGTCTCACGTTTGAACTCCAAAACTTTTTGTGAAGAAACCTGTGTTGAGATTCATGTTTGGATTTAATATTTAGATGAACTTAATTACAATGCCTGACACTTCAATTTATGATTTTTGCGAAGAGGCATTTAATTGCAACAGTGTTTTAATTTTTAGTACCATTTTCTGGAATCACCATTATTGTGATCTTAGTACCCTGTCTGTCTTCCCTTTGCTTTTCCCTCTCCTTCACATGTCTATGATCATCCCAGATGGTTCTTTTTTCTGTTCTTACTATAGTGGTTTGTACTGTGAGAAGATTTAAGGCTAGTGTTTACTTATTTAGTAGTTACTGTGAAAATGGTCCCAATTTCTTGCAAGTTGGTAATAAAATTTAACATGAAGCCTTCTCTGCTGCTGATTCAAAGTTTGTAGTATTGTATTTTTGATAGGAGGGCAAGCCTTTTATATTGTTCCAATTAGTCCACAATATTTCCCCCTGTATTATAAGGGTGATACAAAAAGGTCTATTTTAGCATCGAAACAATAGTTACCGCATTCATCTTTAGACTGCTAGGAAAGTGGGACTCTCTGGGAATTTCTTCAGTTGCATAATCAGAGACAGATTAGTGCCATCATATTAGGGTTTACCAATGTAAATGATGCAACTGTATATAAACCAAGGGGAGGAAACAAAAGACTAAACCATTTCCTTAATATAGATTAAAGGAGATATACGAAGAACTAATCAAGAGCTTTTGTAGTAATCTCATCTACTTAATTGAAATAGTTTCTGAGGTCCTATTTTCTGTGGAAGTTATCTGCACAACTGCGTACAAAGAATTCAATCTTTTAATGAAATTCTTTCTGAGCTTGAAAGGCATCCAGCTTTGGAGGATTAGTCATGGATCATACATGTTAATTTCAGCATTTTTGTATCTGCAAGTAGGGAATCCAAATTCCCTTTTATTGTTTAGCTTCACGTGAAATTACATCCATTTCGTTGCAAATCACATTACCAAATTCTTATCTTGTCTTTTGCCAGCATGCTATGGATATTTACTTTTTTGTGGTTTGCTGTTTTACTTTTCTGCTTCATTTGAGTCTTCTCTAGTAGTACATAGTAGAAAACTGATTCGGTATTTGATGTCTTGGTAAACTGGTGAATCAATAGTATGGCCTTGGTTGTATCTTTGTAATACTTCTCAATTATTTGTGTTGTAAAAGCATCATGTTATAACTTAATATTACCTATTACTTAAACATAATATCTAACACTGGGATTACTTTAGAAAATTTTGTAGACACTTAGTCCGAGATTGTCTGTTGTCCAGCCCTTTAGTGATTCCTGGTAAATTGATTGGTTTCTGCAGCTTACCAAACTTAAACATGAACCAATACCTTGGCTGGAGTTCTAAGCTAGAAATCTTGTCTTATGATTTATTAAGTTTCTGCATTAAGTTATAGCTGCCGACATGGTGGTTGTTCAGGAGGTCCCAGTGGGAAGTGTTCATAAGTGTGTGAAGTTGGTACAGGATTGTCCCTTGCAGCTCTCGTCTCAAAGTTTATTGTTCGCAAGTCCTTCAAAAATTATTGTGAAGAAACCTTCTGACATTCATGTTTGGATTTAAAATTCAGGTGAACAGACATCGCTGTATAACCCACTCATCGGGCTGATGAGTTGTAGGAGGTACATTTCGATCTGAACTTGATTACAATGTCTGACACTTCAATTTATGATTATGGTGAATAGGTTTTTCAATGTGTTTTCACTCTTTGGTACTATTTCTGGAAACGCCATTATTGTATTTTGAGTAGCCATTCTTACCTACATTTTTCTTCCATCTTTTTCAAATGTCTACGATCATACCAGATGCACTTCTGTATTCTTTTCCATTCCTACTGTTGTAAGTTTTACCATTGAGAAGACCAAGGCTGGCAATTTACTTCTCTTTCCGTCTCTCCGATTTATTTCCTCAACCTATCTTATTTAGACCTGGTTTGGTACTAAGGTGATTCTGAAAAAAGCTGCTATAAAAAAAAGCTGGGAGCTGTTTTTGTGTTTGGTAAACACTTAGCTTCAGCTTTTTTTCACAGTTTTGGATGAAAAAAGCCAAAAACAAGAAGCTGCAAAACCCAGCTTTGAAAAACCGGCTTTTTGTCACATCTGTTTTACATAAAAGTTTACCAAACACTCTAATACTGCTTTTTTCTTTTTCAAAAGCACTTTTACAAAAAAGTTTACCAAACACTCTGCTGCTTTATTTCACAGCTGCTTAATTCTCACAGCACAGCAGAAGCAGCTTTTTTTCAAAGCACAGCAATACCAAACCAGCCCTTATCAGTGTTGTAAGATGGTCCCAGTTTCTCACAAGTTGGTACTGAAACTTTAACATGAGTCCTTCTCTGCTGCTGATTCAGAGTTTGTAGTTTTTATATTTTTTATAGGAGGGGCAAGCCTTTTACATTATTCCAATCTATTTTTCGCATTATATCCATAGTTAGCGCATTCATCATAGTAAGTAGCTCCAACTCCGTATCAAAGTCACGGTCATCACGGTTCCTGAATACAATTTGAGGCCTTCTTTGATGCTCTACTGTGAAGTTAGCGTTATATGTCACAGTATATTGCACAGTCGACTTTTGGCAAACTGTGAAGAAAACAGTCAAGTTGGGTATTAGGGTTCAAGAAAAAATTGAGCCTAGCACGAATTTAAATTGTATCAAACTGATTTACAACCCAAATCCTCCAGAACAATCATGGGCAGGTGAGAAATTGGGATGTTTGCATGATTCTAGTTAACCTAAGTTCAGAAGTCAACCTACGTTCATGGTTAGGGGCCTTGCTCCCACATGTCAGAAGTCAACCTACGTTCATGGTTAGGGGCCTTGAAAATCAGTATGTACTTTTAGATTGCTGGCCAAGTTGCAGTAAGGTAGTGGTGGTTGTGGTAATGGTGGGGTGTAAGGGCAACAATGGTGACGAGGTGGCAGCGAAGTGGTAGTGGCTACAATGGCGGTGGTGGAGAGGGTGTTATTTGTGGCGATGGTGGTCATGGTGTGGTGGCAATGGTAGGTGGTGGTGGTGGTTTGTTCGTTGGTAGTTAGATAAAGAACGTAAAACACAAGGAATGGTGAAAACATGTCATTCTTGAACACTAGTGAGGGTATCATGAGATTTGAGATATTCATTTAATGTTTTGTTCATTTGTTCTCCGAAGGCCATTGGTTTTAGGGCTGGTTTGGTATTGATGTACTTTGAAAAAAAATTGTTTCTATTGTACTGTGAGAATAAGCTTATTTTTGTTGCTTCACGTTTTCAGTTTTTTTTTTTCATTCAAAAGTGTGAAAATAAATTATTTTTAAGTGTTTATCAAACACCTTGAGCTTAACTTTTTTTTATACCCATTTTATATATATATATATATATATATATATATAAGCACCTCAATACCAAACTAGTAATTAAAATAAGCATAATATTTTAATTTTATTTGAAGTTTTTACTACCTAACTTTAAAATCAAAACCGCTTTTCAGTGAAAAAAGGCAATACCGAACATGGCCTATGCTTTTTGCTTGATATGATTTCCCTTTCACTTTATATGTTCAGAAAACCTATAAAAATGTAAAATGAATCCCATAAAAATAAGAATTTCTTGAGAAACTATTTTTAGGTCCATGTATCGATCTAAATGCTGTAACTTCTGCAAAATAATAGACATTGCAAGTTTAGGCCAATCATATCCAGGTTAATTTCCCCTTCTTGGTAGCCCAAGACACTCGAAACAGAGATCCGCAACCTTCTTGGTTCTGAAAATGGTTGAAGCCGTCCTAACTAATGTCACACAGAAATAAGTAAATTTTCTGTCAACTTGTGTTCATTGTGATTCAAAGGTGGAACTGTTTTCATATTTATGTCTTGCACGTATCATCAATAAATGGGAGTCTCAACCACCCATTGGAGAAAATCCATCATTTCAGTAACGTTGTATATAATTATAGGTCTATTATCAAAGTGCTTCTCCGATTGTTTAAGAGATCTTTTCAACTGAAAAACAAAACAAGATCGTTACGTTCCATTTTTATTAAAATAGTGAAGGATAGTCCATTAGTAATTAAAAAAGGGTTAAGGGATCTGTATATGTTGTTCAGGTTGATCAAAAGGCACAGCAATAGCTTGAATTGAATGCGAAAAGTATGGAAAACATCTCGTAATGTATTTAACCAGAAACTAAATTTCTATCTCTCTCATTACGTAACTGAACACGTAATTATATACAGCCAGACACCCAATAAGCCCTCCATTTTTTTTATTATTATAAAAGTTAGACAGTTTTTATTGAAAAGAAGAACACCACAATATAACAAGGTGGCAACAACCCACTACAACTTTCTTCTAACAATTAGTCTAAAATGAGGTCAGCAGTTTCCTCAAACCAGGTTCAACAATTATTAAAAATAAAGAGCATGGTAAGCTAGGCGATGAACACACATAGGTAGAAGAAGCTCCAGTAATCTTATGTAGCAATGTCTTCGAATCCTCCACACAATGTCTCACAAAAGCTCTCCATTGATTTTTTTTGTCATATTGCCAGTTAACATAGTATACAACATGCGTCAATCTATTTTATCACATGACTGAATACATAGTTATAAAAACTGATGATACCCAAGAAGCTCTCTCGATTGAATAGAATGTCAAAAACATTTTATTTATTAATCTTCTCAACATAAACAATTACATCAGAAACACCTAGAGAAAAAGAAAGAAAAAACAATGCATGTGCAATTCTTTTCCAAACCATAAGCCTCTCAATCAAAATCAAATGGAGTTCTCTAGAAAAGATGCATGTGTTGGTTGCCATGCATGCATTGGCTTGATTATATGGTTGGAGTCGGAAGAATTAATCATGGTCGCTAATCTGTAGCCTTCGATATTAATCACACACTAATGGAGGCACATTTATTGGTTCCTCCAATTTTTCATTCCATATGCTGCTTAATTTAAAGAGAAACCAACTAAGAATGACATTTCAACTCAGTCCCTCAGTAACTCACCAGCTTTATGATTAAACCACATATATTCCGCATTAGGAAGCACAGACAACCAACCTTGGTTGAAAGATAATTAACACCAAATTTATTGATCCAACCCTACCCCCTCAGCACCTGGCTGTTTGGTCTGAAAATTATGTAACAACTTGCCTAAACCCTAAAGCCTAAAACATGAGAAGTTTGTGTGTGCCAGCAATACGATTATGTATTGTTACTATTCCATGTATTATTATGAATGGCTTTAGCGACCAATTTTCTAATAGATATTGTTAAACTCATCAAAGTCTAATGTGTACTAGAAGTTTTTGGTGCTGAACAAAAATGGGATTCTTAGGTAATGCCCAGTCAAACCCCTTTCTTCTCTGACATTATTTTTTGGGTTAGAACTTACAGATCGACTTTGAATTCAATTGCAAATAAAACCCTAAATTTAGCATGTAAGAAGATCCAATCTTTATATAAAATTAGAGAAAATGCATAACCCACTCGTGCATTTGTGCATGTGAAGAATCTCATGTCACGTGAAACGATTTATCCTTGTCCACAAAGTAAATCTCTTATGTTTATTATCAACCCGATATAAGTTGATGCACATACCCGCCAAAAGTTGATGTACAAAAATTCGGATTGATCTGAACAACATAAATCCGATCTAAATCACAGACACATAAGAATACATTGATATATCATGGTTCACCTCAAGTTAGGATCATGTCTACATTGGTGTAGATCTGATTTTTACTGTATAAATTGGGGCTTGTTGTTAGAGAGCCTAAGTTTGCCATCCTCCTAAAATGAGGATGAAGGATCCTTTTTATATAACAAGGATTTCCCTCATCTTTTACATAAATCATGGGCTAAGTAATGAGGTCCCAATACTCATGCCTAATCTATGATACAACAGGAAGTCTTATATAAATCTCAAACTCATACTTGCAACACGTATAATTAGAGATATTTAGTAAACGTGGTACATGGAACATTATTTTAATTTGATACATTCATGGCAAAACGACCTAAAATATCTAGTTTCATAAAGGATATTGCTTTGCTCATCATCCTCAATTGTTTGTGTCTTATTCATAAACCGACACCTGCCCATTTTCCTATTTCAGATAACTTCTATTATTTTTAGGGATATGATATCCACATACCATTTTTTACTTCTCACACACTCTTTTAATTTTTGGTCATTGGATCGGATTAATTGAAAAAGATCAACGAACATAAATTAACAAAGAGTGTGTGAGAAGTAAAATAGGGTGTGTGGATAGCACACCCCTATTTTTAATCCATTTCACATAACATTTGAGGAGGACTTCCTCATGATTCTTTACGAACGAGACACTTTCCTTACATAAAAGAATAATACAAACACAAGTAACCACCTCAAGTGGTCCAGTGGTAAGGACGCAGACTGCGGCTTTTCAATAAACAAAAAAATATGGGAGGTCACGAATTTAATGCTCCGAGCTGATGAATCTGCTTGACTATGACCACGAGTAGAGTGAAATTCTCTATAAACTTTGGCCTGAAAATAGTGGATAACCGTGGTTTGCCACCGCCCATTTTTATAAAAAAAATAAAAAACAAACATGATGAGTAGTGGTGGCAATCTCAAAACCCTAAACTCTAAACCCTCGTACATGAATAATGTTATTCTTATTATGTTTTTGTACCACATTTTCATACCACCTTAGGTGGCATTTGATGTGGACCATCATTTGAGTTAATCATATTTTTAAATTTAGTTCATTATTTAATAAACTAATAATTAAGAGAAACTAGTTA